TTTCAAGAACAGCTCTGACAGAACTATGGCTTGCCCAAGGTCATCCAGCAGTGGAGGAATGGGGAATCAAACCTGGTTCTCCCAGATTAGAGACCACACACTTAACCACTACACCAAACTGGCTCACTTAGTACAGTCATTGCCCTGGGATATTTCTCCTAATCTCTTTCCTATGTGCTAGATCATATGGACACTACACAATTGGTTATAAAGTATTTTTCAGGGCTTCCACCCTGTTAGTTTGATTTTTTTTTTAGTATCAGGCTAAAAGGATACCTTCTTAGTGGGTCAGTCTAGATGTTCTCAGGAAGCCCCTGAGTGGTAGAAGCTGGTTTGAGTAAACGTCTGTGAGCCAAATCCTTGTTTCACAAACTAAACTGGAGTTACAATAAGCCAGGATTTCACATTATGTCTGAGCTGAGACTGTTCTGCTGGCAAACGAAGCCGTGGTTTAAACAAACCATGTGATTATCCAAACGCAGGACACTCTATTAGTCATGGGTCATTAGGATACATTGAGCCTGGATCTGAAGCCTTGATTTGAAGCGGGCTTTTAACCATATTTTGAGTTAACTATGATTTTTGCATTACACAGGAATGCAGATACCATGGCTTAATCCTGGATTGTTCGTCAAAACTACCCTCGTTGCAGGCTGGGATACTGGTACGTTTCTGTAGGGGAACGAGCAAAGGAGATAGAAGCAGCACTCATTGAGGTAAACTACACTTTGAATGATCATCATGAAGCCTAATCCTGGATTCACAAACTAACCATAGCTAAAATAAACTACTGTGGTCAAACAAGAACAAGATTGACTTTTCCCACGGCAGTGCGAGCGCTCAAAAACAAAACCCATGCATGAGCTGCAAAAAGGCCATCGATTCTGAAGAACAATCCAGCACCACTCACCCCTTCACCTAAGCTTGCTTGGTAGCCACCACACTGGACCATTTTTGCCACACATATGTACCTGTGGTATAGTTCCAGAACCTCTTCGACAAAGAAGTTCATGAGTTTTCAATACACAGACTGAAAACCTCATCTCTCTCTTGAGAGTTCTGGCACTTCTTAAAAAAACCCAAAAAACCTGCCCCTACCCTTTGCCAAAGGGTGGTTTCCCCCGACAGACTGAAAACCTCATTTCTCTCTTGAGAGTTCTGGCCCTTCTTAAAATAAACAAAAACCTGCCCCTACCCTTTGCCAAAGGTGGTTTTCCCCGGAGTAACTAGTGCTCTGTATTCATTTGCTCTTGGAAGTCACTGCCGAATGAGTGAAAACATCATAGCTGCTTAATGCTTGACTTGGGTGTACATCTTAAACATTCTGCACATATTTAGTGCTTCTGTGATGTTTGAGCCATCAAGCAGCAATGCCCCCATGAAACTGCAACACAGACTATTAAGATCTGTCTGAAGAGCCCTACATTTACGCTCCTTCATCTTTTGAGCTCAGCTTTCATTTGGCTCAACATTCTTAAACAGCTGATTTCTTTTATCTTCCTGAATTGACTGTACATTAGGAGTGAATGAAATAATACTCCCTGGTATGAATCAGAGAACATCCGCCCCAGTCCTGTTCCTATGTACAACTGGGGACTGAGCCTTCCCACCCTTCCATCACAACGCATCAGTGCCAAAAAACCTGGTTATCCATACATGCACATAACATATGAATTAGATGCACAGACATACATTAAATTCAACACATGCAGGCCAATATTGCACGATCTATTCTTGAGCTGTGTGGTATATCAACAGTGCTTTGCAGGCTCAGAAAAAAAAATCTTTAACGCATATCTATCTATCTGTCTATCTATCTATCCATCCATCCACAGTGGACCCAGCTTAGCTTCTGAGATCGGTTGAAATCAGGCTTGCCTGGGCTATCCAGGCCAGGGCGGACTGCCTGTTCTGTTATTGTCCTGTCCACCAGGGATTGTATCACTCTGCAGAGAGAAAGAACTGCAGAGGCTGCCCCTGGAAACAAATGGGCAGCCTCTGCGGATCTTTCACTCTGCAGAGTGATATGGTCCCTGTAACCTGCCCTGGGCAGTAGTCTAGCTGCTACCCTTTGGACCAGCTGATAAGAACATAAGAACATAAGAGACGCCAATGTTGGATCAGGCCAAAGGCCCATCCAGTCCAACACTCTGTGTCACACAGTGGCCAGGAATACCAGGTGCCATCAGGAGGCCCACCAGTGAGGCTGGGACATTAGAAGCCCTCCCACTGTTGATTTTCCAGACCATTTTCGAAGGCAGCCCCTTGTACAGTGCAGGGTTGTAAACTAGATTAGTATTGTGATCGTATTGATGTTCTTAATTTTAAATTTGGTAGCATTTTTGGGGGATCATCTTAACCATTATTATACTTTGTGCTGGTCCTGCAAGCTGCTTTATATGCTATTTAAGGGGCAAGTGCTTCGATTTACGGGACAAGGTTTCTAAAACAAACATGCAAATAAGGAGTTGCTGGCACAAAGGAGTGTAGCCCATAGGCACACAAGTAGGAGCTGTGCCATCCTGGGCAACTCTCAAAAAACTAGTTAATGGGAACAAAGGAATGGCAAAGAAGAGAGAAGAGAAGAGATTGGATTTATACCCCGCCCTTCACTTGGAGTCTCGCAGTCGCCTACAAACCCCTTTCCCTTCCCCTCCCCACAACAGACACCCTGTGAGGTAGGTGGGCCTGAGAGAACTCTGACACAAACTGCTCTTTTTCAAGGAGAAGCTGTGCCAGAGCTTGTGACTGACCCAAGGTCACATCAGCAGGTGCAAGTGGAGGAGTGGGGAATCAAACCCGGTTCTCCCAGATTAGAGTCCGCACAATTAACCACTACACCAAAGGCCATTCTTATCGGGAAATGATGCGCTCTTAGGTGAGAAAGGAAGACATTATTGGGAGAGTGAAGGCACCCACTGCATAGTTTATAGA